TGTCTCACACCGCTGGCGACAGGTTGCCGTAAGCCCTCACTCTGCCCGTGCTACGCGCATATAATGCTTGGATAATATTAACATATTTCTCGAGCACACCTTTCCTTAGTAGACAATTTTAAACGGCACATCGATCAACCGAATCGAATGCACCTTTGATGTCGAGGAACACGACAAGGGTGGGCCGCCAATATGTATGGTGATGCTCCAACAACTGACGCAAAGTGAAGATGTGGTCGATGCAGCCACGACCACGACGAAACCCGGCCTGCTCCTCACGAATCTGGCTTTCACGAGCGCCAGTCAGTCTGTGAAGAATTATGGAGGCTAGGCAGAGTTTATAATGCAGCCGTCCGTTCAACCCTCATATACCGTTTTGGGACTTGGCCCATCAGGTCAACAGACATAAAAGGATATTCACGTTCGACCACCGCTGCCTTCGCAGCTTAGCTCATGTCTGGTGGGAGCACTGTGTGAGGAATGAGCATGTTCAGCGTCGCATATTTGGTGGTGGGAGAGCGAGTGACCCGCTCAGCACTGTTATTTCACCTACCAGGCTCCGATAGTTGGGCACGTGTTGCGCATGTCAGCCCACCGACTCCCGCATCATGCGTTGTTTGCGCGCCGGGGGTGTGGATGGAAGAGGAAGAAGGGAAGCCAAGTGATGACTTAGTCATGGGGAATGAGGTCTCACTACGAATTCGGCGTCAGTTGTCATGTTCCCAACTGCACGGCTGGAGTCCGCAGGACAATGAAAATGGCTAGTTGGATACACTGGTTGACATCTAAAGAAACTGGCCTCCGTAGCATTTCTATTGTGGCTTTCTTTGTCCCTCCCCTCTCTGTTTATCTTCCCCCTCCAAACACGATCTCTCTCTTAGCACATAATATCTTACTATAAGTGGTGTTGCCTGTTTTGTTGCCTTCTATAATTTTCAGTGTCTTGCTTTTTTCGTGTCTTCTCTTTATGTATTACGGCACAATAGTTGAAGTGTGTTTTCCACCTTCGGCTAATGTGTACTCATAATGATGATGATACCGTGATGTGCACATTAATGAGAAACTGTTCCCATCACAACTTTCTGTTTGGTTTTATCGATTGCCGGAATTCACCGTTTCCCATACTCATTATCTGCATCGCGAGAAGTACGTTACCTGTTGTATTTCCTATCTACCCCAATACAACGAAGTAGCCGTTTACTTCGCTGATCTGGATCTGATACGGATAAAACTAATCCCTTCGTTTTTCATCGCTTAGAATAGCGATATCTTACTATGTAGTCATTATTCTCTCTACTATGTTCTCCGTTTTGTGTCGTCTTTAGCAACGCCCCACTTTACCATGCATTGTACATTATCTCTCGAATGTACTTCGAACCATGACTTTCACAACTGGGATAATTCATTTCTGCGATCGAAACATAGTTTGCACCCCGTTTTCGCCGGTAGTATGAGTTTCCGACGCTCACTCCAAATCGTGAAGCATGCCCATAGAGATTTAAGCATTTAATTTAACGAGATTTGTTTTCGACAATTCTCACCAGGCCAATACATATGTGAATTCGGCTAAAACGTTGCAATAGACTAAGAAAACTAGGCTATGTTTGATCCAGTTGAAACAAGCTGCGTTGTTCGGCGATCCTACTCTTCAATCGATGGTCAGTCATGCGCAGGCACATACTGAGAAAATGCAGCTAGTAGAGATGCCTCTGTGAGGCTACATCTAATATCTTTTAGGCAAATCTACCCATTATGTTGGTGATTATTCTCAAAATCTCAAGTCGGCAACGTGCGAGTCCACAGGTTTCTTAAACTCCGGCACCGACTACTTTTGGAGGTAGGTTGTTCCAAATATTCACCACCCTCCGCTCGAAGCAGAGTTGGTGAGTGACCCACATCAAATCCGGTACGACAAGCTCGTACCGGTGTCTTCGTATTCTGCTTGTTGTATGCAGATGAAGCAGCCGCCTCAACATGGTGTAATCACCCGGTACGTCATGACGAGGTTGACCCGCATTCGACTATAAGACGGTGTACCACCCTAGTCTTCTTGTACCGGCCTTCATATGGCACACCTCATAAACATGAGATGGGCTTTTTTGCAACATGCTGTACCCACTCAATCCTTTGCACCTCGCCCCGAGTGAGCGGACAGTAGGCGAGTGAGCTGTACTATGGCATTGGTCTGATGATAGATGAGAATGGGCGGGTAGAAACCTCTTCCGACCAAATGCAGAAGCTGCGTTTGAGCGCCCAGAGCATGCACAGTCCGTTTTGGTAAAGCCTGTTAGTGTTTTCAACGGATTTCAAATCGCAGCGTGGCAGTACGTCGAGATCTTTCGCGGATGGCGATGGTTGTAACTGTTGGCCGGCCAGATTGCAGACTCGGCCATTGCCACCCTTGCCCAGGCTCATAAACAACGACTTGACCGGGTTGATCGTAACGTTGACCTTTGCTGACCACATGGAAAGGCAGTCAACTTCACACTGAAGTAGGTCGCAGTCGTCAGGCGCCTCAGTTACCCTCCATCTCTTAAGGTCATCTGCAAACAACGCGCAAGGTGAACTGAGAAGCTGCGGCATATCGTTGATGTGAATCAGGAACAAAATGGGCTTAAGGACTGTGCCTTGCGGGACGCCAATGGTCGAGGGATACCACGGTCAGGTGGTTGTCCATCTGCACCCTCCACGTCCGACCAATAAGAAAGTCGCTGATCCACTGGTGTAGTGAGCCACTAACTCCGCACATTTTTAGTTTCCCTAGGAGGATCTCATGGTTCACCTTGTCAAACGGTTTACTACAGTCGATGTAAATGACATCAACCGACTTCCCTTGGTTTAGCGCGTGCAACCATTCGTGCCTCGAAAGCAGTAGATTTGTGATACATGACCGACTTTTCATGAAACCATGCTGCGCGGGCGTCGATATGCTCTTCGACTCGAGATGCTGCAAAAGACTACGCTTCACAATCTTCTCGAGTATCTTAGCCAAAACAGAGGTCAGGCATATCGGCCGGTAGTTGTCCACCTTGTTCGGATCGCCGCCTTTCGGAATCGGTTTCACCACAGCATTTTCAATCGCTCGGCAATGAACCGGTGGACAGTGACCAGTTGAATAGCTCAGTCACCGAAAGCAAGATGATAGTCGATAGCGATTTGAGAATCAGCGAATGTAATCCATCAGGACCGGCGGGCTTGGTACCGTCAAGACTTTTGAGCAATTTGCCCACACCCTCAACACTGCAATCCAGGCTGTCCAGCTCGGTAGGAGCGCTTTGCGTCAAACTCGATACGGACGCCTGCATATCTGCAAAAACGAAAGCACGCTCAGTGATTTTTCTCGGTCTGCTTGATCCATGTCTGCATGCACATAGATCATCAAACCCTTAAGTCTACCGAAGTGCAATAATATCAACCTCGGACCAGCTTCGTCAGCAAAAATGACCCTCATGAGTCGAACAGTTTCTTCAGTTTTTTCCCAGACATGCAGTTTGCTTCACTTTCAGCCCATCTTCACCGACGTCGAGCAGTCTATCAACCAGAATATAGGAACGACGTGTTCATAAAGAACTTGAGGGTTCGAATCCGATTCAGGTGCCTGGAAGACCATGAGGTTGCGACACCTCAAGTCGCTATACTTAGTCTTCGGTTTATTTGGCCTTAGCATTTGTCAGAGTTCGTCACTACCTAAGTTGTCACACATTTGACTTACAGTGTCTGTCGAGGGAAGTAGCAGGTGGTAATGAGGGACTACTCGGCGATCCAGTGATTAGCTCAGCAGAGCTGGTGCTAGCCGTGCAGGGTGCTTGTGTCTGTGCCTTTTGCGCAGAACTTGCAGAGCTGTGGACCTTGGAACGCCTCACTTTACCAGTCCGTTGATTAGGTTTCCCAGGGGGCTTGGGCTGCTGTTTACGTTGGCACTCCTCACATATGATCTTGACAAAATCGTGGTCCACAGAGAGACCAATACACGAAATGTGAAAGTTGATCTGCAAAAGCCACACTAAACAGCGTTCGCTCGATGCGCGACGATCTTAGAACAATGTTCGCAGGAAGATTGCTTCACCATTTTTAAATTTACCTGCGATCGATAAGACAGAATCACAGGAAATAGACACGGCTAAGCCACTTACAAATGATACCTAGATTCGGAATCACAAAGGACACTGAATTACACAAAAAGATACGAATAACCACGCATTTAGTAACGTAAATAACGAGGAACGCTAGCCAAAAGAATTCGTGAGAGAGCAAATAGCATAGAACGACAAAACAGCCGCCGAGAACGGACAAAACTATATGACCGGATAATACAGAACCACAAAGCATATTGAATTACACAACTGAAGACAAAAATTACACTATATAACACAGAAAAGCGGAACAAACTGGCCTGGAAGCAGAGCGATTTACTTCGAATCGGCCCCCGCGACCTTGAACTTGATGGTTCACACTCGCGTGAAACACGGCGGCTTGTCCTTCTGAGAGGGTACGTATGAGATACACATTAGGAGAATTCCAAGAGCGGAACAGGAACTTGTATTACTCAACGCGTTATCACTGTAAAGGGGGAACAAATATAAGTGTAATGGAAATGTAAAGTGCGTTACGGTTAACAGTCCTCTTTGTCTTCTTACTCCTCTTCAGTCACAGCACACGCGCGCGGCTCTGAAAGGCAAGCGGGAAACGCCGTTACAGCAATACTTCACATTTAGTTCGCGCGCTAATATTTCGATCGTTGTCTACATAAAGTAGCGTTCCACCAGTCTGTAGTTCCAATTTCGCATTCAGAAAATAGCTGAACTAATTTTTAATTCCCTTCATATAAAAGTTACATTTTCCACTCCCTGCAATAAACAATTATTTTTTGTTATGGAATTTCAACCTTTAATTGGTTCGTTATGCATCTAAATAAGCGAATAAACTTCGGCGTCTGAACGCGACAAATAAGCGCGTTTATAGCGCGATGATCGTGCGCTATATATTCGGTACGAAACCAGACGGCCAACCAAAAGCAATGGGTAGAACACACAAAGTAGGCTAGGGAAAAGTTTATTGAATATATTTTAGAATAGTTTACACAGTCATAGGGGGAATCTCCAGGTCACTACACGTTGTTGCAATGGATGAAAATTTCTTAAAGCGGGCGTTTTTTGATGAATGAACGATTTTCAACATGAAACATGGGGTGCACATGGCTGCAAACCGCTTAATAAGCATACACGCCACGCTCCCACAGCCAGCAATAAGAAATAACGGCCGAAAACAGAAATTTATTTTTATATACCAAATTTTGGAAACTGTTCATTAAAAGACAATTAAAGTGATCTGGAGGATTCGAAGAAAAATTAGCGCAAAAAGCTGTCATCCATATTCTAAATGTTAGTTATGTGTGTTATCATACCAAAAACTTAGAAGAATTCTTTTTTTATCTCCTTTTGAAATACAGACTGGTGGAACACTGCCGGAGGATAACAGGGACAACTGAATTACCGCCTGTGATTGATTTAAACTACGGCGTCAATAAATGAAGCACCTGCACTGGCGTTCTCTGTTCGCACAGTTCAGGTTGCATTAGCCCCATCGCAATTGCTCCGGTCGTAACTAGTAGGCTTTTTTCTAACCTTTTGGTTGGCGTACTGGCACGCTGTAAAAACGTTGAAAGCTTCCGTGGTCACAACTGAAGCTGTTGATACTTCTGACTATGCGCTTCCACGACGCTGTCGTACCATGTTCTGCTTAACTTTCTTCGCCCATTGCAATGTTTTAACCGGTTCTATATAGGTTTATCCTGATGTGATTTGTCTAAAGGAAAACTCTGTGCTAAATTTTCCACTCACTTCATCGAGCCGTTATGTATTCCTACTTTCGGTAATTTGCAGACCCAACAGGGCAGTCGCTGCCGCCATGTAGCCGATGTCGGCGTCGCCATCAAGCCTCAACTGCAGTCAGTCGGTGTAAGTGTGGACCTTTGGAATGCGCGATCTAGTCCTCCTGCTCCTCCTCTACTTGAGGGCATCTCGGCGGATGTGGACGAATGCACTCGGGTTCGTTGTTTGCTACCCCACCGTTAATCTATGTTTTCTTCATTTTGATGGTTTCACATTACTCATAGTTTGTTAGTAGTTCTGAGAAATGTTTCACTATACATTCGAATCCGCGTGTTGGAGAAATACTTTTTTGGCGATGAACTTCTTGTACGTTACGGAATAGTTGTCATTCCTATGGAAGACACGTCATATCGAGGTCATGTTCAGATGACTACGTACTGGAATCGGCTGTTAGCAGATAATTAATTCTACACGCCTGTGAAGTACATATCTCCCAACTGGTGAGATTCCAAGCAAGCGTTCTACTCTTGACTTCCACCTGGTAAGAGCGACTTACCACACCATCGACACCGATCTCGCATGCGTTCGGTGGAACTCTATTGGAATTTGTTTCACGATACAGTTCTTTAGTCTTCGAGTTGGCTTCCTGAGCTGTTAATAATAATAATAATAATAATAATGTCTGCTGTACGCCGTAACGGCGCTTCGCTGCCGCGCGACCACCACCGGTCGCGCCTGGGCTGAGTATACCGCGAGGGCGCCCACCCATACGCTATATATATATATATAATCACAATCTATGTACAGATATTGTGCCATCGGAATCATGGCGGAATAGGAAAACGGGGTTAGAGTAAAAGAAGAAAAACCAACAGTTTTTGTCCATTTTTCCACTCACCTTTTTTGTTTTTTATTGGGGAAGGGAAGCGGAATCACCGCAACAAGCCGGGATACACGCCCGCCCCTGAGTTCGGTTTCGAGCCATGACTTCCAACGTTTCCAACCAACTGCACTCAGCATCCTTGGGACCCCATCCAGGGAGTCGGGAGGAACCAACCGTGGCCAGCTGTTTCGTCAGGTTTTTCATCCTGCTTCTCCAAGTTGTAGTCTATCTACCACACTCCTCCTCCAACCCTGTCCAGCGACTGCGAACAAGGCACGATGCGGAAGACTCTGAGCGGGCATACGCAGCACATGTCCGAGCCTTTGTAGTTGGCGCAGCGGGACAAGCTGCTCGAGGGAGTGGCTATCTCTACCCAAGACATACTGTCTGATTTCGGCGTTAGTTACGTGGTTCAGCCACCACACACAGGCGATGTACCGCAAGCAACGATTCTCGAAGACAGACAGTCGACGTAGGTCATCGGTACGAGCAGCCCAAGTCTCGCAACTGCACAGCGTGTACCGTAGCACTGTAAACCCGTTCTTTGATGGAGAGACGGATGTCATGGCGACGCCATAAATGCCTCAGTCTGGAGAAGGCGAGACGAGCTCTTGAGATACGCATCGAAATCTCGTTGTCAACAGCCCCACCAACAGTTATGCAGCTTTCCAGGTAGACAAAAACTCTGTACTACTTCTAACATTTCCCCACTGATGGTGAGTGCAGGTAGGGGGCGTATACCACTCTTGAAAAAGTGCATTGCACTTGTATGGTGGAAAGTGCATGTCATACTTCGACGCTTCAATCGTCAGACGGTTAAGTTCAAGTTGGACGACCTGCGAACCGTCACCTAGCAAGATGATATCATCAGCGTAATCCAGATCAACCACCCGACTATCTGGGAGGAGCTCAACGCCAGCGTTCAACAAGTTTTCTAGCGCACCTTTGGGGACATCCTCAATGGCAAGATTGAAGAGGAATGGAGATAGGGCATCCTTGTGTCGAACCCCACTGGTGACAACAAAGGAAGGCGAAAGCTTGCCATAAGCTCTAACTCTACGCGAGGTCAGACTATACAGAACACACAGCATGGAAAAGAACTTCCCGGGAATACCATTCTTCCACTGTGAGTACCACAATGCAGCCCTGTCGACAGAATCGCAGGCAGCATGGATATCCAGGAACGCAACAATCGTTGGCTTTCGATACACATGACGGAGCTCAAGGATCTGGCGGAATGTGAAAATCTGATCGATGCGGCCGCGACCAGGGTGGAATCCAGCCTGTTCTTCTCGCTGTAGTGATTCACGCGTTGGGGATAGCTTGCGAAGAATGGTGGACACTAAAATCTTGCAAACGACGGAAACCAAACTTCTGACCTTCTTTATTGGAGCAATTTGTGCGCAGGCTCTTATTGAATATGGGAACGACTACCGACTCACTCCAGGATGATGGAACCTCCTCTTTTGTTCAGACTTCCGAGAACAAAGCGGGGAGTTCTCAAACCAGCGAAGAGCCCCCATCTTTAAATTTTGCAGGAAGTAGACCATCAGGGCCGGGTGCCTTATAACGCTTTAGGCAGCAGAGTTCCCGCCAGATTTCCTGGTGAGAGGGAGGATCAGTTGGGATAGTCCACTCATCACCAGTGCGCGCCCCAGAGGAAACAGATGGAGTTGGCGGCCAGGAAAACTGCGAGCGAAAATGTTCGGCCCATCGCTCCAACCGTCGTTGAAGATTAATGATTAGGGAGTCATCATCCTCGCAGATTGTTTCGCGTACTTCTGATCAGAAGCCTTCGGTGACTCGGATGAGGTGGAACAGTATTCTGGTATTACCAGAGAGATTAGCAAGTTCAAGCTCTCGAGCATGTTCACACAACCAGATTTCACGGTCCTTGTGTAAGCTCCTACGCAGCGCTGGATCCAGGGATCGGCGTTCCTCACTACAGCTGGTGTCGGCTGGGATCAAGCGGCTTCTGTCCACCAGCGACAAGGAGACATTGGTGATCCAGCTTTTCGGCGGGTGGCAAGCAAATCCATAACTGACAGTATTGGCAGAAACTTAAGCGTCTTTGATGCGTATCTATTGCGAATTGAGACCATCGTCAGAGGATGAAGCAAGTAATGTTGACAGAGAAGTCTGGTACTTAACTAAGGTCGCAGGATGTCACAGATTTTCGACATCCGGTCGGCAGTGCGTACGTCGGTATGATCCTCCGAAACGCATGCGAATTTTGGCGCGAACCAGTGCGTAATCGGAGCCTAGCCGAGTTGACCAGTACGATCGGTAGTCTGTTACGCTTCAGCGACATCTGTAGCTTATTACTATGTGGTCAAGCTGGGACCATTCTTGTGTTTGAGAAGGCGGACGCCAGGTAGCAGTCTGTCTTCTCGAATGACGAAACTTGTACTCGAAAGAAACAAGCGAAGATCAGAACAAAGAGTCAGTAGTCTGTCTCCATTGTATGATCGGTTGCTACCAAGACTAAAACTACCCCAAGATGATGCTCGCTTGATGGCAAGCGGCCCACTCGTGCGTTAAAATCTCCGGCAAGAATGACAATGTCTGACTTCTTAGCAGAACGCAGAAGCTCATGTAGCTGTTGCTAAACGCTATCCTTGACTACATCGGGGCTGCAGTCAGGCGGCGATGACAAACAAGGCACGCTTAACTTCCATAAACCTCATAGTCTGACTGCACATAGCCGACTGTTGACTGGGATCCAGTCAAGCAAAGTGACCTCAGCCCTGTCACTCAGTGCAACCCCGACACCAGCTTGTCCAAAAGTGGCGGCCTCTGGGTATCTGGAAAGGTGCAAGTGGTATTTAACGTCAGTGTTTGCCGGAGATGTCATTCTGATGACCGTACTGGCATCTTGCAACCTGGTTTAAGAAAGGCAGCGGGTGTCCACCGAGAGTGTCTCAAGCGTGCAGGCCAGACATGCTTTCGTCCGATCTGCATCAGAGTGTGCACATTGAACACTGCAAAGCTGAATGGAGAATCAGGCCGAAGGAGTGGACTTCGGTTGGGTGTGCAGATGTTGTGACCACCGGACAACGAACACCAAATGGCTCAGAACTCTGTCAGATGCAACCAGTGAGCTGTTGTTGGCGGTGACCGGGGAAGATATAGGTGCAGTTGAAGATGGGGACGTGGGACGATCTGTGAGCGGGTGTTGAGCAGCAGAGACAGTGAAGCCAGTAGACATATCAAGAGGGAACGCAGTAGTGTAATCCGTCCATGGTTCGTCAGTGGGCGTAGTACTACCCGGTTGCCCAGGCCGAAGTAGAAGGTTGTCATAGGGGGTCCCACCCTGAGCCTTTGATCCAGGATCTAACCTACAAGGCAGCAGGGCGATATGAGAGTATCGCAACCCGTTGGGAGCCAATGACCAAACAAGTGGTTCATACTCTATTAGGACCGCATAGGACCAACACACCCTCGAATTACACTGCCGCTCAGAGAGAGGCAAGGGGCTTTATATAGTAGCGAGTCACATCCGCCACGTCACAGTGTTGTTAAATTGACATATGTGGCTTTTTACGGGGCGAACGTTTTCCAGGCGAAAACGCACCACGTCCTGAAACACTGCCTTCAAACCATTCGCTGGAACGGGATAATCCTGAACCACCCAGCCGGCACCCTGAGGAGGTTGTTCTGCAAACCAGCCCCCCTACGCAGATTCAAACCGGTGACCCTATGGTTGCAAACCAAGCGCGCAGACCACGGCCACCTGGCGACGCCACCAGTAGCGGTCATATCTCTGTTTTCTGGTACATTTGTGAATGTGTAAGGGACATTGCACCACTTATAATGACTGAGTGGTAGTCGGGATTATAGATCACTGTCACCGAGTCCTCATTGCACTGCACAAGACTTTTCATGTTTGATGTGATAAACTAACGAGTAATGCTTCAGTCCGTCACCTGATCATGCATTCCGCATGCCAGCGAACCGATTGCTTCGGTGTGTGCTGTCTATCAGTACTGCGTCTAGTTGGGTGAAACCCTGCGTCGGTCAGCCAATGATGTGGCAGGTGGCTATTAGAAACACTGAACGGCTGAACCAGATTTGTGCCTGTCGCCTGCTCGGAAGAGGACATCAGGATGGGATCTATTACTGGCCTCTAGCTACCCCATCTGGCAATTTTATTAATACTCATTACACTTAACTCTATTATTATTATTATTATTATTATTATTATTATTATTATTATTAGGAGGTCATATTGAATTACTCGTTGTGTGAGACGATTGCGACACAATCTCAATATGGACTGCGATCACTGAGATCGATGGAAATTACGTGTTTTCCGCCCGAAAGCACTGTATAC